TATTTGGCACCTGAAGTATTATCTGGCAAACCATATACAAAAGAATCCGATGTATATAGCTTTGGGATGATAATGTGGGTATATACTTCCGGCAAAGAGCCATTTGATGATAGATCACATAATTTTGGTCTTACAATGGAAATTTTGAAAGGAAAGAGGCCAGATGTCACCAGCGATACACCAAGATTTTATGCCGATTTGATGAAACAATGCTGTGATCCTGATCCAAAGAAAAGGCCAACTGCCGGTGAAATTGTAACTTGTTTACGCTGTCATAGCTATAAAAATGATTACAATAATAAAGAGGCTATTGAAACAGCTGAATCAAAAAGAAAACAAAGAATCGGTGATCAAGAAAAAGAAAAGGAAAAGGAAAAAGAAAAAGAAAAAGAAAAAGAAAAAGAAAAAAAAGATTCATCATCAAAATGTCCATTTTTAAAAATTACTTCAAGTTTAACGCAAGACTCAAAAATTTTTGCTTTATGTCTATCAACAACCGTTTTGGTTGCTAGTTGTGGTAAGAAGTTTTGTTTTGTTTGTTCACTTATCCAATATTTAAGCCTTTAGATTTATTCTTATTAATTTTTAATTAATTTTTAGTTGGAATGGGGCCAAGTGATAACAAGAACAAGTCTTTTTTGTAATCAACTTCTGCGCATCTCTTTTCATATAATAATAAATCCTTTTGGAGGCGCGTATTTATGGTACACTTGGAGAAATTGGTTCATCTTTTTCTAATTTTCGTTGAGGACTTCTTTAAATGAATATTATATAATAACATTTTTATAATTATTGTATCTAAATTATTTTAGCACTTTTTGGATAAATGTATCACGTGCTTTTATTTACATAATTATATAATGAAAGAGATCAATTGAAAAAGGCACTTTGTGCCAATATGTTAAAGACTAGATGGAGTGAGTGGATTCGAAGGTTGGGCATTTGAATAATAAATACACTTGTGAAATTTATTGTTGGTTAAATTATTTAATGTATTTATATTATTAACAGCCAAAATAATTTTTAAGAAATTTAATGTCCGTTTGCTTATAATCACTATATTAGTAGTAAAAATAATTACAAAGAAAATTTTTTTTATATTATAACAGTGGTTTGAATTATTATATTTATTATATTTAAAATAAATATGAATTTTTTTTTTTAAAAAATTTTAATCTCGGAATAAATCAAATTGTTGATCAGCTCCGAGTTGATAATAATCAAAAATAGTGACGTCATCCATGTAATTTTCTTCCATTTGAGGAGGTTCACCGTAATAATAGCATCCGATATCAATATTTGGTTCAAATAGTCCGTAATGAGCACAATCTGGCCGTTGGTATTGTAGAATAATTGTTATAAATGTAGTCAATTCATTAGTGTAATTATTGTCGCTCTCAATATTTGGAATATCCGTACTGATATTAGTATTAGTAACAGCATCACTAATGTCCGTCATATTCGAATTCGTAATGCTGTTAATATGTTGTCCTTCTGGAGATAAATTTTCAACGTCTGCTTTTTGGGTTAAAGGTGTAATACATTGAGCATACGGAGTATTATTAACCCGGTCCAATGAATTGGATATATTATAATTGTAAATTTCAGCTGAATAAAGAGAATGAACAGATATTGATGGATGCGATGTTGTTGTTGTTGCTGCTTCTGGTGACGTAACGATATTATTATTATTAATTACTTTTGGATTTAATAAGGATTCCATGATTTTTTTATAAAATAAGTTAATGCAAAAAATAAATGAGAATATAAATCAATGAAATAATTGTCAATAGTTTGAAATTTCTTTTCGAAGGTCAAAATTGAACGCTATTTATCTAAAAAAAATCTCTCATTAAATGCCTTGATAAAGTATGTATAACCAATGACTCACCATTAAAAATAATTATATTTTTTTACATCCGACATCGGGGTGTTAGATTTTAGCATCATCTCAAACAGGGAAATCTAAAACTCGTTTTTTCTCTTCTTATTTTACTTCATTTCAACTCTGTATTATCTGTATCATTATTTGCTTTTTATTTCCTTTTTCATATAAATTTTCTGGTAGTTGCTTATTATGTGGTTGGTTGTGATCTATCCACTTTAAAAATTTGGCGTACAGAGCTAAAAATCACATACGCATGACAAATTACCAGTTGACTTATTAACTTATTAATCATTTATCAAATATTGATGTATAATTAAATTAACTGGGAACTGTCAAGAAATTGCAACAGCAATTATAATAATAATAATAAATAATAACGTATTACAACATCGGGGATCAGGTTTGATTTTAAATATCCCACGTCCCCGTATCATAATAAATAAAATAAAACCTTAAATTAATTCACAGAGATCAATTGAAAAAAGATGGTTTTTGTAATATGGAATAAGTTCTTGAAAACGGGTTAGTGAAAGATTACATAAGCTGTGTCTGGGAAAAATGTAATTAAAATATTTATGTGAAAATTCCGACGATTATATAAGCTTGTAGATCCGATTATATTATATTTTTGGTTAAGCTTTAAATTAAAATTTATTTATCAATTTAAAATCCCATTGCATTATCCTAAAAAAAGATTTCAAAGAGACAATTTTTTCCAAATGTGTGTCTGTTTCAATGCTTCTACGAGTTTTATATTAATCTCTTGCATCAATTAAAGAAAATCGCCTTTACACAAATCCTAAAAAATAAAATTCGCATTGTTACATTATAAACAGGATTCCTGGGAGTAATAATGATTTTTAATTTTTCCTGTAACTATTCTGCTTCTAGAGTTATAAAATTTTTACAATAAAAGATAAAACATACATAGTTGTATAATAAAAAACATTACAAAATCTTTAGGCCGAAACTACTTTGTACTACCTAAATCATGTAATAGTAAAGATGATTTCTATGTTGATGGCCAGAATTATTTTGTATTACTTGCAATCATGTAATAGACATAAACGAAAGTCAAAAATAAACCAATCCAAGACATACCTTTTAAATAGATCGATGTTGGGATTGTTACACATCACAAACATAAGTAATCAATGGATAGCATTTTAAAACCTTCTCTGTTATTCAGCATCACACATGCAATCCAAATTAATTTCATGATATCAAAAGTGAAAATTAATTACAACACTCACAATAATACATTAATTTGCAACATATTAACAGAATTATACAAACACATGAATGTGGTAATTTTTACGTTCTTTCAAAAAAAAGCCATGTTCTGGACACCTGATTTTAAAATCAAAGCTTACTTTAATCAATTACAAATGCGCTTAAAACCCCACTTGTACATTAAAGATGGGCAAATAAATTCATTAAATTTCGTATATATATTATGAAAAGCTCAAAAGAATAAAAATCCAAAGAAAATTATGCAAGATATTCCAGTAACTGTTACACATGAATGGATAAATTTTAAAAAACCAGAGCCAAAAATAACTGAATTCTTTGAATTAATGTTTCCACTTGATAAGGAATATCAAAAAAATGATTCGTCTCAAAGAAGATAACAAGTTTGCATCTCCATTTTCATCATCATTGTCATTACAATCATTTTCATCTTCTTTCTGTTTTTGAATCAGGATGGTACTCGGTATGCACAATGTGTTATACAATCAACCCACCCTGAACAATTATTTTTAGCCAACAGATTGAACAGTGTCATATAGACTACGATGGTGTATCAACAACAGCTATTGTACCATCTGATAGTAATCTTGCCATTAATTGGTTCAACCTTATTTTATTATCATTATTTATTATTTTTTTCATTTCTATTTTCAGTTCTTCATCTCTCTTTTTTTTTTATTTTATGTTATTTGTAATACTGGAGATTTTGAAATCCGGGCTACATACATCATTACCATATTAATATAAATGTTTTTATGAAGTAATTATTATGACGCCCAACATACTGGCCTGGGATATAATAAATTACATCTATCATATAAATTTTATACATATCATGATAAATAAAAAACATAAATACACAAATTTATTTTTCCGTTAATTGACTTTGTTGTTATTTATTATTATTATTTATTATTATTATTTATTATTAACTAAATATGTTGTGTACTTTCTTTGTTTTTATACCATAATTAGATAGAAATGTTTATTGATAACAAATATTAAAATAGCATAAAAACACAATAAGCAAGCTTGTGTATATACGTGTTAATATATAATATAATAATAATAAATAAACCGTGCGTATGTGACGCAATCATTATCAACCCTCCATTACTATATAAAAAAAAAAACAATAACAATTATGCAAAATGTTAACGCAAAAAATTTTTAATATTCCTCGGTAACAAAATTAATGAATAAATTCTGGATCTGGTAAACCTTTAGCACAACATTATTATTATTATTATTATTATTATTATTATTATTATTATTAATTAATTAATTAAAACCTTAATATTAATATTAATATTTGATATTGGCTTGCATGTTAAAAAAAAAATACACTGCCATAATTATAATTAATAGTAATTTTTTTAAGAGTCAAACGGGAAAAATCTTTTTTTTTTCTTATCAACTAATACCATATTATTATAGAAGAAAAAATACACATACAAATATTTGTTTAATTAGGGAAGTACAAAAATATTTATGGAATGTCACAAAAGAAATTTTACACAAACTGTCTATTTACATCAATGACATAAAATTTAAAGAAGCTTGAAATTGATTAAGTCAAAGCTCGTTATAGTAATCTTCTTGTTCCCCCGATTTATCTTTCATTAACTAAATACAGCCGAAAAAAGAGGAAAATTACATACAGGAAAAGATATAGAAAAGAATGTATCACTGAATTTAAATATTATTTATCATATTTTTGTAACAAGTTTAGAACGAATTAGAATCAATTAGGATTGTAAAGATATGAATGATTGCTATTTTCGTTTCAGTTTGGGCGCTATTTTTTAAAAGTGACGCGAATTAACTAAACAATATTGAATTACAAATGTAACGACAGTTTCTCCACTTTTATTATAATCATAATTGTCTTGTGGTGATTTTTTTCCTCATAATAAAAATAAATTGTCTTGATTACTCTAAAAATTTTAATGGCAAATAATTATTTTCTTTATAAAAAATTAATAGCTTAAATTAATTAATGTGTACAGCGTAATATTAACTTTAATAAATAAATAAGGTTTACTCATAAATTTATATTTATTTACGCTGGCAGATTCGGTGACAATTAATACTTAGCAAAAAAGCTTTAAAAAATTCCGACTCGTACAAAAATGCGGTGTTATTATTGTTGTTGTTGTTATTGTTGTTGTTGTTGTTATTATTGTGTTAAGCAAAAAATTAGAAAAATTTTCCCGGATTTACTGTTTGTAATTAAATGTTATACAAATAAACAGTTTATCACTTATTATTAATTTTAAATTACACAACAGGATAAATAAAACCTTAACGTACGCTTGCCCTCAGAAATTTAAATGTAAAATCAGATAATTAAAATTTGTGGATTAACTGAAGGTCCAATTACGTACGAAAGAATATCAAAAAATATTTAAATAAAAATATTTACTCTGTAACATTCTGTCTAAGTGTATGTCTTGCCAAGAATTTAACTCAATTGAATAAAAGGTAAAATCCGTCTCATTATTAATATTTAAATGATCTACAAATATTTACATATTATTTTCTAAATGTTTACTAACTCAAATCCTAAAAATCAATTTTAATTTTTCCACTTTGGAGTTATAAAATCTTTAAAATCTATGCTCCCCTACAATAAAACATAGGAGAATAAAAACTTTGATCTGCAAACTTACATAGTATAAGATCTTTTCTTTTTTGTTTATGATTATACGAATTTAAATCAAAGCTTTAATCAATTAAAAATGTGCTTATATATATCTTATGTCTCAATAGATGATTTTTATTTCAAAGACAAACCAGAAAATCGAAATCGAAAATATATTTATACTCAAGACCATTAAGGTGGGTAAAAAAAATTCATGAAGTTTATTTCATGTAATGTTGTAATCATAAAAATTTGCACTGAATGTAATAATTGCATAATATTATGGGACCGCCATAAACTTGTATTAGTGTAATAATTGTATAAATTCGTGTCGGAAAAAAAATTTCCATATCAAATTTTTTTGTGTCTAGTTGTACTATTGGCGAAGTAATACAATTAATATTAACTTCAGTGCCCTTTAGTCGCAGCGGTTATAATTAAAACCCTGATTAAGATATTGACTGCATGAAAAAAATATGCTACACCATCTATTTCATAATATTTTTTTAAAAAGATAAATAAAGTTCAAACGTTATCAATCAAATTAATAATAAGGGAAAAATATTTAATTCTTATACTAATAATACCATATAGTATAATTATTAATCAAAAGTACAAATATTTGTTTTTAATTTGAGGAGACTAGTACTAGATGGAGAATATAAATATGGAAATTCAACAAAGTGAAAATATTATTACACAAATTGTTTACATCAATAATATAATAATTTATATTAAATTTACTTGATGATGTTTAAGACAAAGCTCGTTATAGTAACTCAAATTTATTTTTCATTAACTCATTACAGCTGGAAAATTGCATTATAGAGAAGAATGTATGTGTCACTGTATTAATTGTTATCATATTTTTGTAACAACCTTAGAACAAATCAGAATCAATCAGAATTGTAATAATTGTGAATGATAAAAATGATTAATCGTTATTTTTGTTTCGAATTGCGTTATTTTTTAAAAAATATTCGTGAATTTGTATTATATTATAAGAATTAACCAACTAATTAATGGCAAAAATGTAACGACGTTTTCCCCACTTTTATGTCATTGTCCCTTGCGGGAATTTTTTTTTCTCATATAGAATGATGATAACGAAAAAATCGTCAAAAATTTTAATGACAAGTAAATAATCTACATGTTTCATAAAAAAAAAAAGCAAAAATTTTACTGGAAAATAAATAGATAAGGTAACCCCATAAATTATATTTATTAAATATTTATTTTGTGTAAACAAAAAAATTGAATTAAAAATTATTCCTTTGTTCGAGTTACACAACAGTATAAATAAATTCTTGTATTAAGATATTATATATTATCACCTGTGTAACATCACATCATTTATGCAATTATTTATACCTACTAAAGATTGTTTACTATTAAAAATTAATAAATATATTCGTAACAATAGCAATAATAACAATAAACTATAAATTATATTAATTCTAATATTATCACATTTTATGAATTTTAATTTAATTCCAATATCATATAGTCATTGTTTTGCTTTAAAGAAAGTATCAATAGTAATGTCTTGTAAAGGCCTTTTTCTTGAATGTGGTTCATCCTATAAAAAATAAATATTAGGCTTTGCAAATTTTATTTATAATAATAATAAATTTACAGTAGCATTTTTTCTCTGGGTGAATTATTATCATCATTGTATGATCCACTATCTCCATCATTATTAGAGATGTTTGAATCACTACTATGATTGGATATATATGTTTCATTATTAATAATACCATTTCCTCCATCTGTATTTTGGTCATTATTAATCTATAAATAAATAACATTATATTTAGTAAAAATTAATCAATTAATAATTGAATGATAAAAAGTATTATTTTTTTATTTACATTTGATACATTAGGTAAAGTCAACTTTGCAATTGCCAATTTTTGCTTTTCATTATCTATGCAATAGTGATTCAAACCTGATAAAGATCTATGGTGAGTATAGAGTGACTATCAATTCCTTCATCTGTGAGTTTTTGTGCAGTTCTTTTTCCTTAAAGAACGACTGATGATTCTTCTATTAGAACAATCTATTTCAGTTAAATTACAAATTCCTTTAATAAAGACTACAAACATTTGTATTTTCTTTTGGGAAATCTCGTTGGATAGAAGACACATTAGAACTCTATAAAAAAATATATTTAAATAAAATAAATAAAATATATATATAAAATAATTAATAAAAAAATTAAAAAAATTACTAACTTCTAAATGACCTAAAGAATTCCTTAATTCTTGTGTAGTAAATTCAGGATTTAATAATTCTGATGCTTTTATAAAACTCTTTAGTATTATTAATTTATGATTTTTAAGATAATGCAAATAATATTTTTTTAAAAAAAAATAAAAAATACCATTGCTGCTACAAGAATATTTTCAATGGTAAAGAATTGTTTTGGTAAAGATATAGAATTGTTTTTATGTGTACATAGTTTTAATGTGATAAGCTTTTATTATAAGTATAATAATAAATGGATAATTACATAAAGGATATGGTATAACTATCTCTAGTTCCTTTTTTCAGATCTCTTGCAATCTGTCAGAGGGCAAAAAAAAAAACTTGAAATGGTAATTATGACAATTGATTATTTGATTTCTCGTTCAAATAAATCAAGTAAAAACCACCCAGATATTAACATTTTATTTTACAGAATATTAATAACATCACATTTGTTCATGTTATTTATATTTCTGTTCATACATGCTACTAATATTTTCATTGGTGATTTTATATTGAGATAATTAACTAGTCATTGACAAAAGAATAAAAAATAAAGAAAAAGGAGAATGATATAGAAGATGAAGAAGATATTAATATTAGCAATATTATAATTATACGTGAAGTCGAAATTAAAACCCCAAAGTCGAAATGTTTCGACTTGAGGCAACTACATAGTAAAATCAGTTTCGACCTTATTTCGACCAGATCTGCAAATGGTCGAAATAGTTTCGACTTCATGTATAATTATAATAATAATGAAATATAGAATAGATTTGTACCGGAGTGAACAAAGGATACTTAATGACATTAAATATATTTATTAATGAATGAACACCTAGTTCCTCTTTTGACTTGGATCTAGAATAAAACTCCTCATAAGCCGGTGTTGAAAATTATTCCTTTGTGAATTACTATCAAGAAACAAATAATATTTTTAGATCATAGATATGGTGTCACCTTTACATTGATCTTATAAATATAAATGAAAAAAATGTGTAGGGGAAACCATGCGTTATTTTATATGCCACGATGATATTTTTCATGTATAAATATAGGGAAGAGTTCTATTAGTATTTTAATTATATATAAACTCAATACGAAAAAAATTTTACTCAACCACTAGATTATTTTAAAATCTTTGGTATCGTTGCTATTATTGTTATTGTTGCAAAATAGTAAATCGTGGGCCGACCAAGTGTCCCGGTTAGTGTTGATCATTCGAAACGAACTTACTACGGCAGTCACGTGATAATCAACATTATATTTCTATATTTATTGTAACGATTACATCATATATAATGTAACGGGACCCCAGGGTCCTTCTGTTAGAGATAAAGCGCCATTACGCGGGGGTTCTAATCATCAGAGCCATGGATAAGGCTCCGAACGAATCAATGAAATTCGAACTAGTGTTGGTCGCCAAAACTATTTTGAAGGTGAAAGTCAAAACTAAAATTAAAAGTTGTAAATCAAAAGTCAATAGCCAAAAATCAAAACTAGTTTCGACTTATGGCGAAACCTTTTGACTTTCACACGGCTGCGAAACTCTCGAGTTTTGGAAACCAACACTAATTCGAATCGATTCGAATATACACGGGATGGTAATTACCTAATTACCGTAAATACGTAATTCGTAATTATTACCACTTTTCCTCTTAAAAACATAATTATGAAATTAATTACTATTGCGAGTGACAAAACTATGTGTGGCAAAATTATTTACAGGCGACGAAACTAATTACGAATGACGAAACTAGTTATGGGTCACGAAATTAACTACTGGAAATATCATATACAGAATAAATGTTATTTGAAATCAAAGAAACTGTAAATTTTCTATATAACTCGTTGTTAACACTGCACTGGTTAATCAACGTCAAAACCTTTGTTTTGTACCAAAGCAAATAAACAAAACTCGAGGTTCTATACCATTCTGATAATTAATCTGAAGTTTTTTCACTTAGTCAAAAGTGACTTATTTTTGTAATTGTCTTTAGGTCAATCATTTAAATAGAGTTAAATAAAACATCCTATCAGAAAGTTCGGCAATTTTATTGCTTCCTTGTGACTTAATCGTTTTTAGTCCTCATAATATCAATCAATATGTATATTTAAAGAACATCATTTTAGGATAATAAAATAAATAAAATAATAACTTGTATTTTTACAATAATTAAAGTGCCTGTTTATAGAAACCATGTTTTATTTTAAGTAAGTAAATCACTCATGGAGACAATATCTTTCATTAAAAATGATTTTTTTTTTATGTTGGTACTTTTATTTAGGGGTCCGTATCACTTTACCGACAATCACTTTCCCGACGTATTACTTTACCGACAATCATTTTACCGACAGTTCATTTCACCGACAGTTCACTTTACCGACAGTTCATTTTACCGACAATTACTTTACCGACAATTACTTTACCGACAATTACTTTACCGACAATCACTTTACCGACAATCCATTTTACCGACAGTTCATTTTACCGACAGTTCATTTTACTGACAGTTCGTTTTACCGACAGTTCGTTTTACCGACAGTTCGTTTTACTGACAGTTCCATCAAAAAAATTGATCTGAAAAAATTCGCGTTTAGCACCAATTATTATTTGTATATTATATATGTATAATTTGCACACAGATTATGAATGTGTGTGACAAATCATTTCTCTTTATCAATCAATCAATAAAAAAAGATATTATAATATTAG